CTATTCTATTCTATTCTATTCTATTCTATTCTATTCTATTCTATTCTATTCTATTCTCTGTGTTATTGCTATTTCTCAGCCAAATTTGGGGGTCAATCAAGAAATCAGGAAGCCAAGGAAAAAAGCATCCATCTACTGACTAGCATAACCACTCCACTTAGGGCCGGGAAGTAAAGCCAAATCTTTAAGGCTCGTTTAAGGGGCAACAGGCTTTTGGGCTACTCAGAAGATGGAGGTGATAACTATTCCAGAGACCAAGAGCTATAACAGAGAACGCTCATCTCTTGGAACCTATCATATGACACTGCTTTAATAACAGGACCTGTTGGATGGTCCCTCAGACAGCCAAGTCCCAAATCAAAGCCAGAATCTTGACTGGTACCCAGAAGCTTACGGATAACCTGTGCAGCTCACCCAACAGATGTGTTACATAGACCTACCCAAGTGCTCTCATCACTCTCCACATAGCTACAGTATAGTCTTGAAGGGCAGCCCCACGCAGAAGGGGAGCATTCCAGCCATTTTCAGAGAACTGGGTGTTTGCGTAAAGTAGGCCTGGTCGTTTGGGCCCAAACCAGCTCTGAGTTGATTTATTCCATGTTCCATCAGTTTGTTTTCTTGGCGCTCTCTCTGTGGTTTCTCAGATGTCTTCCCACCACCACAGTTCAAAAGTGTCAGTTACTCTTCCTATCCCATCTCTTTTAATGTTCAAAATTCCATTTAATAAGTCCTCTGTTCTTTCTCTGTTTCAGGATCACACCCATACAGGGATGCCTCAGTACCGTCAGGACCATTCTTTGATCATGAGATCTGTTGTCCACATGACGGAAGCTGCTCGTTCAGGAATTATGACTCCTAACCAACTTACTACTATTAACCAGTCCCAGCTAAGTGCTCAACTGGGATTAAATCTAGGGAGTTCCAACTTGCCACACACATCTCCTTCCCCTCCTGCAAGCAAATCAGCAACTCCTTCTCCGTCCAGTTCTATCAATGAGGAAGATGCAGATGATCCCAATAGAGTAAGTTACAGCACTTGCCAATCAATCAATCAATAAACAATCAATCCAAAGGTCTTTCTGCATAAACTTTTGATGTTTTTGCTCCGGAAAGATTTCAGAATCCTTGCCCCAAATAATAGATTTTCAGTTAATTTGGAGGAGTTGCCTATCTGTGGATATGATGGCTAACCTAGGGCCTGTATATGTTCTACTACAACACCATACAAGAGAAAATAAGTAGATAGTAGCAAGATAGTAACGGATGAGTAGGTGGATGCTTTGGTTGGTTGGAAGGCTGGCTGGCTTAGTTGACTGGGGTTTTTTTGTAAAAAAGAGTTAAATATATAGGTGGGCACCATGTTTATCCAGCTTTATTGCATAGAGATCCTTTGTGACATTTTCAAAAGAAGGAAGTTCCCTGAGTAAGGGTCATCATGAATAGATTCCTGCCTTATAAACGCAGTCCTCTTGTTTGCCATCTCTGGCTGCAATGCTTTTGACATTTTCACATGCCACTTTGTAGGGTATTCATGCTAAAACAACAACAACACCCTAACCTGTGCATCTCTTTCTAAAAAGCAACCTTCACCTTTTCATAAGTGGTGCCCTCCAGTTTGTTTTCATCTTGAGAATAAATGACCATCCGAAAGAAAGATGGCAGGTGGTGAAATACATCTGAACTCTCAGGCATCCATTTTGGAAATAAATAGCAGGATTTTACACGTGTTTCTAGCACAGCATCTTATTTTTCTTTGCTTTGCTTTTCCCTGGGGGTGGTGGTGGAGAAAATCTTTGCCATTACTTAAACTTTAACCAAACGATTATGGCAAATTACAGCTAGAGATTGGTAGGCCAGTTCATGGTGGAAACTGGGAGATTTGCACATGTGGAAGGTGTGGATCTATCAAGTAGCGTTTTGAGCAGAATTCCACCTACGAGCTATGCAGGGCATAGATAGATAGATAGATAGATAGATAGATAGATAGATAGATAGATAGATAGATAGAGACTGACTGACTGACTGACTGACTGACTGACTGACTCACTGGCACTGAGAAAGGATTAAAAAACAACTCAGCTTATTGTTCTTTGACCTGGAAGAATTAACAGAGACATTAGCAACAGCGTGAACAAAAGGGCTAGAAAAGTAGAAAGAGTTGATTCCACTTTTTTTTCAGGCAGAGTAATATCTTGTTTCTCAAATGTTAGTGGGGTACGTCCTGCGCCAAAGGAAGTTTTAATGCTGAAGATGTTCTAGTCTTAGAATTTAATGTGGCAAGCTGTCCAGAGACAGACAGACAGACAGACTGACTGACTGACTGACTGACTGACTGACTGACTAGGGTGACTTTGAGCCAATCACCAGGATTCTGTGAGTTCTAGTCCCGCCTTAGCCATGAAAGCCAGCTGGGTGACTTTGGGCCAATCACCAAGAGTCTGTGAGTTCTAGTCCCGCCTTAGCCATGAAGGGCTGACTTTGGCCCAGTCCCTCCCACTCAGCCCAACTCACCTCACAGGGTGGCGGTCGTTGGAAAATAAGAGAAGGAAGCCGTCGTTGGCAAAGTCTGCTGCCTTGATTTATTTGCAAAAATAACAAAGGGATACCAATAAATAAAGATCATAAAATCAGGCATCACCAACCACCTTGCTTTGCAACAGAAATTCTGGCGCCCCCTGTGTTCGTAAATTGAGGACTGCCAATAGTTTCAGGAAGTTGCAGACAGGTCCTGGGCTCCCTTTCAAACACCTGTTTCCCTTCATATCCAAAGCCTGCTATTTGGAATCACATCTGGCCCCTGAATAGACAAGGCTGATGTGCCTGGTTTTCTTGCTCTTGCAGGCTGCCGGAGAAAAGCGGGCTGCCCCGGATCCTGGCAAGAAGCCCAAAACGCCGAAGAAAAAGAAAAAGAAAGATCCTAACGAACCACAGAAGCCCGTTTCCGCGTATGCCTTGTTCTTCAGGGACACGCAAGCTGCAATTAAAGGCCAGAACCCCAACGCTACCTTTGGCGAGGTTTCGAAAATCGTGGCCTCTATGTGGGACAGTTTAGGAGAAGAGCAAAAACAGGTAAAGCGGAGTGGAGCGGCCTTGCTGTTCGGAGGGAGGTTCAGGCCCGCCAAGGATCACAATCCCATCTCATTAAAAACAGCGGAGGGCTAATCCTTTGGCGGGGGCTTGGCTAATGAGGAAGCGAGCCCAGACTGGGGGAGAGGTGGGTAAACAGGACCAGACTGCCTTTAGTCTTGCCTGAGAAACTCAAGAGTCAAGAGCAGTGGTGGTATTGGACCGGTTTGGCCTGGTTCTGGCAAGCCGGTAGCAGCGATGAGCAGCGGAGACCAAACCAATTCTCTCTGCTGCTTTGCTGTTGGATCCACCCATAGGTGGGATTCTACCGGTTCACACCTATTTGCTAGAACCGGCTGTTAACATTCTAAGCAGTTCGGAGAACCGGTTGTTAGAAAAAATTACTGGTCTAATCCTGTAAGGAAGGCAGGAAGGAAACATTCTGGTGTTGCTTACAGAAACTGCCTCTCCGTTAACCCTTATTACATTCTTGGAGGGACTAGACTTCCTGTCTCTGGAACTTCTCTGGAGTTTTTTCCCCCTCCTTTGCTGGTACTTTGCTTATATGGAGTGACCATTCAAAGTTACAATGGCACTGAAAAAAGTGACTTATGACCATTTTTCACACTTAACGACTGTTGCAGTATCCCCACAGTCATGAGAGGCCAGGCGAGGAGATGCGTGCCTCGATGTGAGTGATATTAAGTTGGCCACGCCCAGCCAATAACATGACCACCAAGCCATGTCCACCCAGTCACATGATCACCAAGCCACACCCACCAACTAAGCCACAACCACAGAACCAGTTGTTAAAAATGTTGAATCCTACCCCTGGGTCCACCCATCTGCCCGCCTGGGCTCCCATACTTACTTTTATCCGCCGAAGTTGAAGCGCAGCTGCTTTGCGGGGCACAGAATAGCACCTCACGGCAGCTGCTGAAGTGACCGGGAGATTGTGCAGGCTTGCAGGAGGCGAGTGAGAACGCCTCTGCAAAGTGAGCGTTTGGCATGCACAGGCACACAAAGTGTGTGTATGAGTGCAAAGTGCGCCCACAAAGCCATGCCCCCTGCATTGGTGGCAACAATATTTGAATCCCACCACTGGTCAAGATCTACCAAGGGGTTTTGGATGGGTGGGGGTATGATTTTAATGGAGCGGTGGATGTACCGATTTAGAAACATTTATTTTTCCACCGAGAGGAAGTTTACGGATTATGGGGCGATGTACTCTGCTCCTGGCGGGGTGTGTGCTTGTGTTTCCCACAAGCCCACACACAAACATAGAAACAAACACACATATACAAAATACACACACTTGTACAAAATATAGGTTTTCTTGGAAAGTCCCCCCCCCTTCTATCTCACAAGAGGACTGTGGTTATTTTTGTTTTGTTTCCCTTTAAAATATTTTTTTAAAGGAGTTGCAATGTAGATAATGATAGTAATTGTCCTACTACTATTACCTCCTCCTTCCTCTCCTTCTTCTCCTCCTTCTCTTCCTCTTTTTCTCCTTCTCTTCCTCTTCTTCCCTCTCCTCCTCCTCCTTCCCCTCCACCTTTTCTTCCTCCTCCTCCTCCCTCCTCTTCTTCACTTCCTCCTTCTCTTCCTCTTCTTCCCTTTCCCTCTTCTCTTTTTCCTCCTCTCCCTCTCCTCCTCCCCCTCCCTCTTTCTCCTCCTCCTTTCCCTCCTCTTCTCTTTCTCCTCCTCTTTCCTCCTTCTCTTCCTCCTCCCTCTCCTCCTCCTTACTCCCCCTCTTCTCTTTCTCCTCCCCCCCCACAACCACTCCTCTTCAGCCAAAAACTGCTGCATTTGGTGAAGTTTCTGGGTTTAACACTGTATCATTTTTAACAGGTATATAAAAGAAAAACAGAAGCTGCCAAGAAGGAATACCTTAAAGCCCTTGCAGCCTACAGAGCTAGTTTGGTGTCCAAGGTGAGCTTACTGCCGATTTCAGTTCAACATAGAGGAACAGTTTTCAATGCAGATTAATTTCCTTTTTCAATCATTTGGTTAGAAGGCTTTTTAAAATTAGTAACAAACTCACTGCTTGAGGTGTGAAATGGGGTCCCTGTTCCTTCTAAAATTACCAGCAAACACAGAATGAAACCTGTGGGAAAAGAAGGGGTGAATTAAACAGTTAAGAACTTTTGAAAAGCGCTATATAATAGGTCCAACAGGGTTAGCTTCTTCAACAAATAAGATCAAGGGAATGTGATGTAAAGCACTGCAGCATCACAGAAGGTCCTTTTTTCTTTCTTTCAGTGACTCTGTAATCCCTTGCATTGGGGTGGGGTCAGGGCAACTGAATGGAGCTGGGAGTTTACTGGCCGGATGGCCTTTCTGACACCTACACGGTGTTCAAGCAGACAATTACTCATTAGGCCCAAAGAGAGAAATAATTGCAGCTTCTTAGGATCGAACTCACACTCATGTAAGAGGGGCTATGTGCGTGCATGCATCAGCCGGCAACTCATGCAGCCCCGTGGCGAACAGACTGCAGACCGGTAGTGGGCCGCGGCCCCCAGCTTGGGGACCCTGGCCTAGACTGCATAAATAACCCTAACTCAGATGAGTTGACTTATTGTTGTTGCATGAGCCACGGTGGCACAGTGGTTAGAGTGCAGTACTGCAGGCTACTTCTGTTGACTGCTGGCTGCCTGCAGTTTGGCCATTTGAATCAAGGTTGACTCAGCCGTCCATCCTTCCGAGGTGGGTAAAATGAGGACCCAGATTGTTGGGAAAAGAGGCTGGCTCTGTAAACAGCTTAAGGAGGGCTGGAAAGCATGGTGTATAAGTCTAAGGGCTATTGCTCTTCCTTCCTTCCTTCCTTCCTTCCTTCCTTCCTTCCTTCCT